CTTTCCTTTTAAACAACGAGATAACTTTTTATAACCTTTTGCTATCGTAACAGCAAAAACCATTAAGAATTTTTTTTTCTCTCTCTTTCTCTTTCTCTTTTTCTCTTTTTCTTTCTTTATTATGGAAAAACTTGAACAAAAAAAAAAATAAAATAAAATAAATTAAAAAAAAAAAAAAGAAGGAAAAAAAATTTTTTTTTCTTTAAAAAAAGAAAAATCGATACTCGACGTCCGCCATTAAAAAAAAAAAACTGTTGTAATTTTTTTTTTTTTAAAAAAAATTCTTTTCTTTTTTTTTTATTGACGTTTTGCTCTCTTTAATTTTATTTCTTCCACACACATACACATACACTCTCTTTCTCTCTCTCTCATTCTTTTATTATTAATAAGGGCGTGTCCTTTTTCTTTTTTTTTTTGTAAAAATAACAATGAGAAAATTTTTTAAATGGCGTGTTAAATCCACTTAAAATAAGAACGAAGAGAAAAAAGGAAAAATAATGATAATTTAAAAAAAAATTTTTTTTTTTTACTAATCAGATAATGCTGCGAATTATCACCGGATAAACAGAGAGAGAAAGAGTGAGAGAGAGAGAGAGAATAAATTATTTTTTTTGCACGAAACTCAGCAGGAGGAGGAGGAGGAGGAGGAATCTTATATATATAAATTTTCCAGTTTATAAACGAGTTTTTCTTTTTTAAATCATTTTAACGCAAAGGGAAAAAAAATTATTTTTGACATTTAATTTTTTTTTTTTTCATTTTATAAATTTTTTTAATATTTAGAAAAAACACACGCACACGCACACGCACGCATATTTAATATTTACGACGTATAGTTGTAAGGAAAAAAAAAGAAAAAAAGTAATAAATTATTATTTTTACGGTGATGGAGAAAATATATCGATAGAGAGTAAACACTTAAATTTATTTTTTTATTTTTTTAAATTTTGAAATTATTTAAATCGATTCGAACATAACGAAAATATTTTTAAACAAAACAAAAATGGCGTCGTCTGAACAAAAAAATGCACGAGAAATAATAATTTACAGTTATTTTTTTTTTTTGTATTAATTATGATGACTTTTTATTTTTTTTTTTTTGTTCGTAAGAGGTTTATTATTTAAATAAATAGATATAAAAAAAAGAAATTCATTTCGAAATGATTAAAAAGAAGACAGACCGAAGAGAAAGAAAGAAAGAAACGAACCATAAACTTAAATTTAAAAAAAAAAATTCTCAACAGCAAAAAAAAAACGCGGCGGCGGTTTTAAAAAAATACAAGGCGGTGGTTTTTCGTTTTGAACGAACAGGTTTTTTTTTTTTTTTTTTTTAAACTCGTTTTGGTCGTCCACGTTCGTTCGTTCGTTCGTTTTACGGCCATCATAAATCAGAAGAATCACAAGATACTGTTTTTGTGAGCTTTTTTTTCTTTTAAAATAAGAAATGATCTTTCGAGATCTGAAGAGCTTTTCTCTATTGCTTTTCTTTTATTACCTTTTTTTTTTCTTTTTCTTTTTACTCATTCCAGTTTTCCAGTTCCCGGGGTTAAATATTTACAAATCACACGAACCATTATATTATTTTTTTTTTTTTTAGTACTAGACTTTAATTTAAAATCTTTTTTTAAAAAAAAAATTTCAATTTTCCGAATCATCGAACCTTAAAAAAAAAAAAAAAAAAAAAAAAACAATTTAATATTATTATTATTCGGTCGTAACGAGATTTAAATAATATTTAATTTAAAATTGGGTGGAAGGGGGGAGAGAGGAGGGAGGGAAGCTAGGAGGGGAAAAAGGAAAATTTTTTTTTTCCATTCGAGCAATCTTTAAAAAAAAAAAAAAAACAAAATGGAAACCTTGAAAATTGACGTCGTTAATACCTGACCATGCGACAAAAGAAGAAAAAAAAATTTTTTTTTTTTTTCTTTCAGAAGGTCAAATTTTTTTTTTTTTTTTTAAAAATCACTCAGGTAACAAAATATAATTGATCCCTTACAAACACACGCACACGCACATACCTAAATATATATATATATATATATATATATAGATATATGCAGGAATTAAAATACCTGAATTATTAACCGAAACGCGGTTATTCGTAATACTTAATTTAACGGTTAATTAGAAAAAAAAAAAAAAATTTTTTTTTTGAATAATAATAACAAATTCAAGTTTTTCTCACGCTTCATTAACCAATTTTTCATTTTTAAAATCGTTTTCCTTTAAAAAAAAAAAACTTATGAAAATGCCACGAGGACGCCATTTTCCTTTTTTTTTTTTAATTAAAAACAAAAACATTTTTCCCCCTTCTCCCCCTCGATTCCTTCTTCTTGCTAATTACTTTTTCTTGTTTTAATTAAAAAAAAAATAACTATAAATAATAATAAAAAAAAAAAATTGTTGTTGTTGTTAACTCGATATGTGTGAGGGCTGCTGCTCCTTCTTTCGCTTTTTCCTTTTCATTTAAACTTCTTAATTTTTTTTTTTACAATCTTTTTTTTTTTTGGTTATAATCATTATTATTATTAAAAATTTCCCGTTTGAAAAAATTAATTTTTTTTTTGGGGGGGTGAATTTTCTAAATGGAAAATGGTCGTGAATGCACTGCTTTTTTTTTTAATTAAGAGTTTTCTTTTTTAATTTTTATTATTATTATTTTCATTATTATTATTATTTTTTGTTATTTTGTTTTTTTTTGTTTTTTTTTTATTTTCCATTACAGGAAGGAGAAATGATGTAAGCCAATGACCATTTGGATTCGATACTTTACAAGATTAAAGGCACCCTTAAACAAAGGGTAAGAATTGTTTATGTTTTTTTTTTTTTTTATTAACAATTCTTTTAATTTGTTTTTTTTTTGTTTTGCTTCCGAGAATAATACAACTTTTAACACATAAAATTATTACAATAATAATAATAACGATAATAATAATAACAATAATAATATTGATCGTTTTTGTATTAATTTTAAAAGAAAGGAAAAATCACTCGAATGAACGAATAAAATTTAGGAGGCCTCAACGTTTATTTATTTGTTTAATTTTGAAAAAATTTTTCCAGGCTCCAGAAAATTTTCTCCAAAAAAATGCATATTTAACTTTTCCATTATTATTATTATTTATATTTTTTTTTGAAAGCGCAACCGTTTTTTTTCCCTTAAACATTTTAAACTTAACTTTTCTTTTATTAAAAATTTCTCCAGTCAATTTTTTGTTTTTATTTTTCGCAACGAAAATTAACGATTAAATCGATGATAACAACAACAACAACTACAATAATAATAATAGTAATAATAATAATAATAATAATAATATTTAAAATACTTAAAGTTTTACGAAGCGTTAAAAATGTTTTTTTTTTTTTTTTCATTCAAACGTATGGATCGTTGATGTAAAAAATTTAATAAATTCATCAATTTTTCTTATTTTTTTTATTTGTAGCATACGAATTATTTACCCCTTCCCCCTCTTGCCCCCCATACAAAAAATAAAAAAAAATTACCTGATTGTATACGTAGAAAAAAAAAAAAAAGAAAGAAAATTGTATATTGAAATAGGCTAGGTCAACGACTCAAAGAAATCTAATGAAAATATACGTTGCGCAAATCGTTGGGAGGCGCATGCGCACAATTATAATCGGCCATCAAGAAATGGGAGTGTTCAACTCGGCTTTAAATTACATTTTGAAGGTTTAAATGTTTAAATTCCACCAACTGAGAAAAAAAGTCATTTTTCAGGCTCTTTCTTTATTATTATTATTATTATTTTTTCTTTTTTTCGTCTACCATTTTTAACGTTTCCACTTTTTTACATTTTCCATCCATTTTTTCTTTTACTCCCATTTTTTTTTGTTTATTTCGAACGAGTAGATTGATCCATCGTATTATTATTATTTTTATCACATTATAATTTTTATCGATTGTTTATTATTATTATCATGCATTATGATAAGAAAGAAACAGGTTTCTAATCGAAAAAATAAATATTTTATTTATTTAATGAACGATTTAATAACAAAAAAAAAAATTATTTATTATTATTTTTACCGCCATTAATTAGTACCTTGCACCTTGTAAAAAAAACCTTAAAAAAAAAACTCGTAAAAAAAATTATTATTATTTTTTTTTTTCAAAAGAGAGGGGGGCGGGAGAAAAATGATAGTAAATTTTCAGTTAGTTTTAAAAACTTTTTTAATTAAAAACAGTTCCTTTGGTTAATGGGTTTGAACCTCATTTCCGGTTTAAATAAATCCTTTTTTCCTATTGTTTTATACGGATATAAATTTGATTGGTATAAATTATATCTAAAAGATTTTCTTGAGTAAATTTTACTGTTCTTTCGACGTTTTTTTTTTCGTTTATTTTTATTATTATTATTATTATCATTATCATTATCATCATTGCTGCTATTATTCACTCTGATTTTGGTTTCCCTTCTGTCATAATTAAAAGTAATAATAAATAATATTCATTTAATTACTTTTTAAAATTTATTTATATACTTATTTCATTTTATTATTATGTAATGTATGCCGCCGATGCACTAATGAACGATTCCATTCAATGAATGAATGATTGAATGAATGAATGAATGAATTATCGAACTAAAACAATTCTAAAATAAAATAATTCGCGATAAAAAATATATTCAATCAATATATTTTAATAATATATTAATGTGATTGTGGACGTACGTTAAATTCATTTTCCAAAATGTTTATTAAATGATAATAATGATAATAGAATTTTTTTCTTATCGAAATTAACACGCGGGAAAATAAGTTTTTAATGTTTTCGTTGTTTTGAGATGATTTTCATTCAATTTCTAATTTAAAAAAAAAAAATGTTGCCAACTCTGAAATAAAAATAAAAAATAATATTATTATTATTGTTATCAATGTTACAAACACGTTAAATAATAATAATAACAATAACAAATATGGAAGTGAAAGCGTATATATATATTGGGTTTGAATTCGAACGTATTTGTACTCACATTTTAGCAGAAGACAAAAATGATGAGGGCGTTTACTAATGCACCAAAAATGAAACATTCAAATGCGTAAAATTTAACATTATCTTCGACTCTATCGAGTTCGTTATTAAGATATGATATTGCGATACCAATATACCCTCCAACAATGCCTCCACAAATACCGCCAAAAATCAAAGCCGTTACAGTTCCGATAATGGAAATACATAACATAATAATTTATCATTCAAATCATTAGATATTATTATTATTATTATTATTTTGTTTACTAGAAAAAAAATTTATTTCTTACGTACATATAAACATATTTAATAAAATTTTGTTTTTTTTTTTTTTTTTTTTTTTTTTGAAAAAATCAAAAGTAAATAAATATTAAAAAAAATTTTAAATAAATTCGCGAACTTTTTTTTTTTTTAAATTTTACCGCGAAAAATTTTTAAATTGATATAATTTATTTTACAATGTTTGTTGTTTGTTATCACAAAGCAATCGTTAAATTAATTGTTATTATTATTATTATTAATATTAGAACCGTAAGTTCTAGATTTTAGAAGGTGAAATAATTTTTTTT